TTTTACCACAATTAAAAAAAAAAAAATCTGAGACATTGATTAACTCACCCAGGGTCACATGGCGGCTACCATATGGATTCACACAAGGTCTGTTTCTGACATCGAATCGTACCTTCTTTCCAGGGCTCCATGTTGGGTCAGTGTGGTTCTAGAATTGTTCTGTAAGTGTTCATCGAGAGTCCACTTTCTTTGTCTCTGCCGCTTGAAATGCCACCAGTCTTGACTTCATGTCACGTGGGAGCAGGTGAGCTGTAGGGGACCCAGGTGCATGGACTTGGTGTCAAGTCCTGGCGTTGCCACTTGCGGGTTATCTGACCTTAGTCAAGACCAGTGAGCTCTCCTGGCCTCAGCTGCCTGTCCGACCTGAGGAATGAGATTCTGGCAAAGTCTCCACCTGAGGGCTGTTCAGAGGCTGAAGAGGGAGGCAAGGCCAACTCAGTAACCACTGGAGGTTGCCAGATGGGGCTGGTGCCGACACCATGACCCCTCTATGGAGAAGGAGATGTAGCCTAGAATATTCTGTGCACTAACTACTTGGAGAAGAGGAGAGATCAGGGCTGGGCCACAGAAGATAGAGCACAGTTGAGCTCTAAAGAAGGACATTCTGGGAGAAGAGAAAAAGCTAATGAGACGGGACAGTTAGATAGCAGGGTGGGAAGAGAGAAGTGCACACCTTGTTAAGGTAAACTTGGAGAGACTATTTGGAGGCTATCAGAGCAAAGAGATTTGAAGTCAGAGGGACCAGTTAGGTTTTTGCAGGACCCAGAAGGGAGGGAAGGAAGGAGGGAAGCTATTCCAGGGCAATGGCTGTGAGCACGAAGAAGGATGGGCGGGTGAATCTGTCGGTCCCAGTCAGTGCAGGGGCGTTGGGAAGAGAGTTGGAGGTTCAGTGCCTTGGCAGGTGTAGGAGCCTGTCCTAACTGCTATCAAGGCTTTTGAGGTCCGGCAGAAAGCAGAGGAGTGAACTTGAAATCGTAGGTTTTCAGAGACTATTCTGGACAGAAGCAGCCTCCGCCTTTTTTCCCCTTGAATGTTCATTCCTCAGAGTTTGAGCCTCAGTTCCCTTAAAAACGCTCCCTGCCCGAGTGTATGAGCTCCTGGGTGAGCTCGCCACTGCCCATTGCACCGACCACTGTTCTAAACATTGATGACTGCTAAGGTGATGTCTTCAGCTGAGACCCCGCCCCCTCCCCCCCATCAACATGGGACACCTAGAGACACCCGCCTCCTGGACTTTGCTTGGAAGGTCCAAGGTTCATTCAACTCTCCCAGTCCAAGATCAAGTGTACCCCGTTTCTCCACCCGAATGAACAGTGCCTCCAACCCTACCTGCTGACACCAGAAACCTGGCCCCTACCCTTGATCCTCCCTATCCCTCCAGACTTGTTCATCTGGTAGGTTTGTTTTCCTAAATGTTCTTTGCATTCACTCCTTTCTCTCCATTGCCAAGGCAACTGCTGGGGGGAGGGGGGGCTACACTCTTAGTGGTTCTCACCAGGATTTCTGCCGCTACCTCCTAATCGGCCTCCATGCTGCTTGTCAGGTCCCCTGAACTCCATTCTCTGCTTGACCGTCAGAGCAACCTTTCTACCAAACAGACAGCTCGCGTCTCGGCCCTGCTCACAGGTCTGCAGTGGCTCCCTCCTCTCTTTAGAACAAAGGCTAAGTCACTTAGCATGGCGTTCAAGGCCTCTCAGAATCTGGTCGACCCTTTCCTGCCCTGCCCTTCACCACTTTTCCAACAGTGATTTTATAATCGAGCCACACCGAACCGCCTATGGTTTGTCAGACTCCACAAGTATACACATCGTTCCTTTCGCTCAGACGTCCCCATTCGCCTCTCTGTCAGACTGGCCGAATCCAAGCTGTTTTTTTCGAGCTTCAGCTCAGACTCCATTTCCCTTGGGAAGCCTTCTCGGCCTGTTCCAAATAGATGCCTCCCTTTGTGCTTTCACTGCACCTGGCATCTTTCCCTTCTTCTGCTATCACGAGATCCAGGATGTCTGTTCATTCACTCTCTCATTGGTTCTACATACATTTACTGAGCTGGCTCTGGGGATAGAATGGTGAGCTGAAGCCATGTGACTCCTGACCCAATAGAAAATGATGACTGCTGCTGTTTGCCTGTCTGACTCAATAAGCCTTTGTGAAATGATTGATGATCTTGTTTTTATGTGCCTTCAGGCCTTTGCCCTTGATGTTCCGTTGGCCTGGAACACTGTCTCCGGTTTGCAGGGCTGGCTTCTTCTTGGTCAGATTATCTAAAGTTGGTTCCCCTCCTGCCCCCTCCCTTTCTAGCTCTTTGCCCAGATTTACCTTCTCAATAGCATTTGTCACTGTTGAAACTAACTTTTAAGTGTACATACAGTTAGTTTCATCTGCCTCTTCACACTAGAACATGACATTCGCAAGAGTAGGGACCTTGCCTGTCTTATTGCCCAGAGTCTCGGGGACTAGCATATGTCTAGTATGTGTGTGATAAATGGATGGGTGGGCTTTGCTGATAAGGAAGCAGATGCAGAAAAGGGAAAGACAGGTTGTGAGCATGAAATTATTTTAGACTCAATACCAAATAATCATGGGAATTTCAGATACAGAATGGAGGGTAGCAATTGAAAAACAATAACACAACTAACAAACATAGGAGGTAGAGTAGGAGGAGGTGGGAGGAAATGTGTCAATGTCACAGTAAGGAGTCACCTGCTTTCTAAAATGAAGAGATCTACAAAAACAACCACCATTACATCACCGTCTTCTTGTTCATCATCTCTTTTCTGAATCTTTGCAGAATTATTTAGGAAAATGTGGTAAAGAAATATTAAACATTTACCAATTCCTTCAGCTTCGTGTTAGCTTCCTTTTTTCTATTAAAAGAAAATGAAACTTAAATTTAAAAATGGCAACTACAAAGTGTTAATATTTTAAAATAAATTAAGTTTTTCTATATATCTGTCAACCCTGCATTTATCCATATGTAAATAAATGTGTATGTAGATACATATTTCTGTAATATATATATATCTAAAAAGGTGTCCAGTATTTAGCTATTATTCATAATTCACATACATAATGGATAAATATATATATTTCTGACATTTATATATATGCTTGAAAAGATGTCAAGGATTTATCTAATATTCATAAAAGTTATTTTTAGTGGATAAAAATTTTGTTTTTTTCTTTTCTGTGTTTTCCTGCATAGTTGTAATTTTTTTACAATGTACATGTGCTATAGCAAATGATATTTTAAAAGCAATTAGAAGCAGATATACCAAAAGGTAATTGATAGTCAATTTTGGATGATAGGGATATTAAGATATCTTCTTTGTATTCTTTTTTCTTAGAAATTTTTAAAGAGGAATTTTTAAAAAGGAAAAAAAATGTGAATCTAAGATTAGTGCATCAGGGATCCAGAGAGGGCACGCAGAGCCAAAGTCAAGGCTGAATGAGTCCTGGGTCAAGGTGTCTCTTCAGCTAGGAGAGGCCCCAGCACAGAGAGTTAACAGGAAAAAAACCAAAAGCAACAACAACAACAAAAAACCATAGCCAGGGCCTGGGACACAGAGATCCGATAGGTGCCATAAGAAGCTAGGCCTCTCTTGGCCTCGGGTCATCCAGAGGAGGACCAACCCCCCCCCCCCACAAGGTTATAAGAGGTTGCTCCTGGAAGAATATTCAAACAGTGAAAGGGCTAAGTTCTCACAGCGCCCTATATAGATGCAGAGGTTTAATAACCTTAGCCCAGACACCCCACCGGCCCCTCGGAGGGAGCCAGGCACAAAACAAATGTTTCGAGATTATAAATCGGTGTTGTGTAGCAGGCGGTACACGTGAGCATCAACTGCAGAATTTTTTTTCATTTTCAGAAGAGAACCACTCATGCTGGGAAGACGCGATGGGAATAGGAGAAATTGAATGTGACACAAGAGGAAGGGGCCAAAGACCGCTGGGTGGGACGAAATCCTAGGGGATGTAGGGCCCTGGGCAGGGGAGAGGGGCAGCCTTTGCTTCCATAATACTGAAAGCGCCCACTTGTGTGTCCATCTTTCCACTCGACTGTGATCTCCTTCTACCGTCTGTATCTGATTTGGCTTTCGGTCCCTCCACCCCATCGCCTAGCAGGGCGCTTGGCTCCCCCTAAGCGCTCAAAAAATGTTCAATTGAACCGAGGCAGCTCCTTACATCAGTCTCCTCCGGGGCTTATGTCAAGAAAGCAAGATAAACACATCCCATGCGGGTGGCCGGCGTTCTTTTGTTCCTTTGGGGAGACTATTGGGCATTCAAGGGGCTGCCGTAACACTTGGAGTGGAGGGAGCTGCGCAGACAGCCGGCCCTCTGCACGGGTTTGCCACCGTGAGCCTTGGAGTTGTCGAAGGAGGTGGAAGGTGCGTGCGGCCCTCTTACCAGGCCCGCGGATGCTCGGTGGTACCCAAGGAGGCACTCGGATTACTAGGGATGGAGCTGAGCCAGGGGTCTGGTGTGCGAAGTGCTCCCATCTCAGCATCTCAGTCCTTTTACGCCCCTGAACTCGGCTTCCCCATCTGGCAAGTGGGAAGACTCCTGGCTTCCAGGACGCCGGGGGTGGAGAGGCGCGCAGAGAGCAGGGCTGCGGAAAGCGCCCAGGACACGCGAGCCGGCATCTCCGCGGAGTGGGCGCC